TTTGCACACACCCATGTTTATATATACTATTTGTTTTTTTTCTTTTTTAAGAACAGTTGTATGATACTGAATATTCTTTTTCCTGCTTTTTCCCCCCAGTTAATATGATACACCAAATGTAAGTTGTGGATGGCACATGTAGATCATTACAGAAGTCAGGTAGTAGCATAAAGAAGACAAGCAAACGTTGAGGAAGAGTGAGGACCATGGTAAAATTGAGAACTGCATATTTCTTTAAATGAATCATCAGCTCTTTTAAATCAACTCCTGCAGATGGTTGCCATGTGAGAACTGGGGCCCAGTGTTATATTCCCTGATTTCCCCAGMAATATTGGAAGGCTGGATTTTTTTGTGTAATCTGAATTTTAAACTTTAAATATGAATTCTCCATGAATATCAACAGTATATGGGTCAAGCAAAACATGTTTGTACTGGTACACACTGCAGGCCTCTCAAGATTCTCCAAAGAATCTCTGCTGAGAGATCAATTGCAGAAAAATTTGCATCAGAAATTCAGTGTGACTTGTTTTTTTGCACCCCAGGTCAATCCTGCTGAGTTAGAAATCCTCTGCATCCACTTAGGAATTTGTTTTTTGGGTTTTTTTTTTTTTTTTTTTTTTTTTGTACTAGTGATTGAACCCATGGGCACTTTACCACTGAGCTGCATCCCCAGCTCTTTTTATTATTTAGTTTGAGGAATCTAATTTTTTAAATATAGTGTTTCTTATGTTATCTCAAGTTTGTGAACCAAAGAACTAGCATACCATAATTGGCACATAACCATAATTGAATTCCAAAGATTGGGAATATCAACCTTTGTTAAATTCATTTTTTTTCATTGATGGATATTAAATTGCTTCTAGATTTTTCTTTCTATAAATACTTCATTATATCCTAATGTATCACTGTTTTAATATTTGTGGTACAGAAAATCAGGATTATTGGATCTAATTATAGGGTCTAATAGATATTATACATTTCAGGATCTAGTACATATTATAAACTTACTTTTGAATGACAGAAAAAAGAAAAACATTCACATTTCAACCAGAATATATGTGAGAACCTTCATCCTAATATTCATACTTCTGTATATTTGAAACACTCCCAACTTGAGATGATAAAAATGTTCTTTATTTTTAAAATATCTGTTGTCCTCACTTTTTTTTTATCATATGTTCATAAGTTACTTATGTTTTCTCTACTTGAGGGAGTTTTCAGATAGAATAGGAAAAGGAATATCTTCTACAATATCTTTCTTTGATASTTTTACCTTCTTCCTAGGCTCCACCCTCCTCCCAAATTCCAGCTTCCTTTCCTACAGAGAGCCTATTAAAGCCACTGATAATCTGTCACCATTCTGTTAGGACTCTTTTTCCATTGGAATTATTTTTAAGTGTTCATTTCCTTTGCCAGTTTTGCTACTTAGTAGTCTATATTTTTTCCTTATCTGTTTAATATATCCCTGTGTAAACTAGGCTATCAAAAATTTGCATTATATAGTATTTTATAAAACAAATTATTAAAGTACTAGTTTACTTAATCTAATTTTGAGAAAATTCCATTTTAATCATATTAACCCTTTTAAACAAACAGCACTATTTTAGTTTGCTTCTTAAACTGCTTTAAGAAATTCACTTTAACTACACACATTTTCAGTATAATGCCATAAATTAACTGCAGAAAAGCCATTAATGAATATTACTTTACTTCACGAAATAACAGCAAAGGAACCATAAAGATTTAAATAACTTTATACACAAACTATTTAAAAGTTTTAGAACTTTCTAAACTAAAAAATGGACTTTTTTGGGGGGGGTACTTTCAAGAGTTCTTATTTGAAAACCCAAATGGGATTTCAAAATACAAGTAAATAAATGTCAAAGCTTCTTGGCCTCTGCTCTGCCATTCTATGTCTGAAACCCTGCCAAAATGAAATTTTCCATTCAAGAAGGACTGGCATTTACTAAGCTGATTTTTAAAAGACATTCTCAAAAGTAGTGGAAACTTTGTGCAACTTTTGACATTCTTCTCTTGTGGATATAACAGCTGCCTCTGTGGACATTTTCCACCACTGTAACATTTTCTAAAAAAGTTTCAGTCTTTCCAATGTCTGGCCACTAGGTCTGTTGTTCCACCCATCCACCCAACCCCTGGTCCAGTACCCAGCATAGAAGATAAACAGCCCCCAGGCCAGAAAGTAGTGTTTCACTAAGTTTCAAGGTGTAGAAATGATGAGAGAATATATCTCACTAAGTATCAAAGTAGAAAAGGAGAAGAGAAAGAGGGAGAGAGAACCGGCAGGGTTCAACCTTTCGCTCTGAAGGGAAGGACATTTATCTCAACAGGCTCTACTGTTTAAAACAGAGCTGTAGCGAGATGGTTGCTTATTCACATGAGAACTTCATTTTTCAGTTATTGAAAAGTCATCTAGTTAACAGATATGAGTCCTTTAAAAAAATTCAAAAGAGAAAATATGGAGTCTCTGCAAAACGTAGTAAAATTAGAGGCTCAGTGCGCTGCTCCAATTGCCCTTCCACCCTAGGGATGGAGAAGGGGTGAGGGAGCGCCCCGCCTGTGAAAGAGTGATGAAGTTACCCTGGCCTGGAAAGGAGTGATGGAGTTTGGAAATGGAAACTACAACTATCATGAAAACCTCCAATATTCCTAAAACAAGCTTTAAAAAATTGTCACTGTGGAATAAATCAAAGGTAGAAATGAAAATTACAGGGCGTTAAGTGAGCAAACGGAGATCTTTCTATAATCGATCTGTTGGCACTTTTAACACACCTTTTGAAGCAACAAGCTAGTTACTAGTCATTCCTTAAAGCTTTCTCCCCATTCTCAATTCTCTTCCTTCTCTTTTGCGCAGCTTTTTCCTTTGCAGCGCACCCCGGAATTATTCCCGTGTGAGCATTCCTTTAATTTCGAACCTATTTTTTTCTGTCCTTATTGCTCCCAGATCCAAAGCGCCTTTTCCTGATCTAGTATCTGTTTCACTGATGCGACTAAGAGGAGGTGGCAAGGCATTAAAAAAAAAAAAAAAAAAAAAAAAAAAAAGTTTTGCGGTTTGGGAAACTTGGGCCTTTGTTGTGTCATTTCCCCTGCCCCTCCACGCCCCCAACCACGTGACCCAGAAAGGCCGGAATTTTGTGAATGAAGCCGAAAGGTGGCTGAGGGGGCGGGATGGACTCCGCCCCCTTCCCTAAGTCGGCCAATCTCCGAGCGGAGCGCTGCGGGGTCAGCAACAAACAACAATGGGCTGGGAATTTACGGTTCGTTATTGGCTGCAGGAGAAGCTCGCGGGGGCTCTGAACTGAAGCTCCACCCTCTCCCGGTTACCCTGGATACCCGTCTGGGTCCGGCGGCAGAGGTCTTCAGAAACTTGCTCTGCTTACAAGGTCTTGCTTATCCTGGGAATGCATAGTGGCAGGACACCCTTCTTATCGTCCCTTCTAGTAGTTGCACCCTGAGAAAGCACCCGGGAGCCTCCCTATTCCAACCTCCGGGCCCAGGCTGTTCCCGGGATCCCTCCTTGGCAGGGGTTAAAATGCAGTTCCCGCTCAAAATGCTTCTAGTTGAGAGCGCTGTGAACTCTATTTTCAGCGAGTGCACGGTGTGTATCCTTGCTGTTCATGGCTATTAGTTATTTCCCCAGCAATAAGTGCTGGGTTTTGTTTGTTGGTTTTGACATAGATATTGTCCCTCCTCCATGGGTCCTTGGTTGAGTCTTAGGCACTCACACTCCATTTTAATGCGTCTCCAAAGGTTCTATTTAAGGAAGGGAACTTTCAAATAGAAATTGAGAACCGCAGCACGTTTCCTATTAGGCAAAACGGCTGCAGGAAACTTCTTTTGGTCACTAGCTCTGGCCGCTACCAGATTCACAAATGAATTTCGTCACCATTCAGTTCCCGGTTCTTTCCCCTTGGCCTCCTACTTCCCCCGTAGGACCAGGGCTTCCAAAGAGACCTTTCAGTCCTTCAAGTCCTATAGGAGAGTCAGGGAAAGTGACTTCAGAGATGCAGTTCTCACTTAACGTCCTAGTTATTGTCCTTGTAACTCGAGCTCTCTCACCACTCGCCCCCAACTCCCGGCTCTGTCTGTTTAAAAACTGGAGAGGAAGTGAAAGCGTCAAGTACTGTAAGAGACACCCTCCGCCTCCATGTATACATAACAAAAGCTCAGGAAACAAGCAAGTCCTTCGGATATCCAAACCACCCTATCCCCTCGCAGTTTCTCCCCACCCCCACAGTGGACTTGAAGTGCCTTTTCCCAATGTACACGTAGGGACAAATGTTATTTTTATGTATTTCCTTACCCAGCTTGCAATATAGTTCTCCCTCCCAGTATTACAACCTCTCCTAATAAACAATTCCTCGATTTTATACTCAGATGTTTTCCTCAAAGATTCTTTATTTTTTCTGTCCCATGAGCTAATTTTAGTTAGAATGGGTCTTTAAAAAATAATGGTTCGATAAGCAATGGTGAAGGTTAGTGTTGAAAAACGAGAATAGAACTTGGGCCAAAAGCTTGGTGGGAATGAGGCTAGACTGCGAGGTGGGATCCTTGTCAGGTCAAGAGTAGAAGGGTTGGAGATCTTGGAGAGGAGTGCGAGGAGGAAGCAGGGGCTTTGTGGATCGCTTTTCTGAGTATATACCTGAACCTCAACAACAGTGTTTAAGGAAATCAGCCCAACAGTGGACCAAACACACCAGTATTGAGAACTGGCGATTCGGTACACATGGTTTCAGTATCCCCAGGCGCCTTAACAATAAGCAGCGAGTTAGGAAGGAAGTGGATTTTCTCCATGGCTTTTCCAGGGTGCGGACCCTGTGCCTGCGGACAGAGAACTCGTTTGGGCAGAGGGGCACAAGAGACCCGCGGGAAGGGGCAGCAAGTCTCCTGATTGACAGCCCGAAATCTGATCTTGTGAAAGAGACGTGGAGCCAATGGGAGGCAGCGATCCATCAGTTTGGATTGGAGGCCCCTGGAGGAGAAGTAGAGGAAAAACCACCGAATTGAGCTCTGTCAGAGTCGCTTTCGGCTTGCAAGGGGAAGTGCTGGGCAATAATTAATGTTTTTATTAAATTTGGAGGGAATTTTTTGCAGCCGTTCGCCCAGCGTGGCCTTCAGGTGGGTCTTTCCAACAACTTTTTATGTCTCTCCAGATAATTGCATGGTTGTGGGTTGCAAAAACTATCCTTATGAAAGAGGTGTCTCCGTCTCTTTAGTCCCGTTAGGTGCAAAGCAAGTCTCGCTGATCGCCATTGCTAGTTTTGCACACGTTTGCGAATCAGAGCTGCCCGGGGTACACCGACCGCGCAGGGAAACATCGAGAGTGTAAATAAATACATCGCCTCTTGTTCGGATTTTTGCTACTACCGAAAATATGTAAATTGTGAACTCTCTGGGCTCTCTTTGGATCCAGGTGAAGGAGGCGGTGTAGGGGAGGGTTATTTTTGTGAATGGGACTGTCGGAGGGTAATTAGCTATGCAAATTCAAAAGCTTCATTCATGATTTTTTTTTTTTAAGCCTAAAAGCCATCTTGTTCCCCTCTAGGTTGATAGAAGTCCAGATCCCGAGGAAATCTCCAGCTAAATGCTCAAAATATAAAATACTGGGCTAATATTTGCGAAGAGCAGCAGAATGGATGGATTTTATGACCAGCAAGTGCCTTACATGGTCACCAATGTGAGTGATCAGTTCGAAAGTTGCTGTTTATAAACTTGACTCCGACGGGGGGTGGGGAGAGAGAGAATGAGAAGGGAGGGGGCAGGGGGTTGGGATTGCAGATACTTTATCTGCTTTGTTGCCACTGTAGGGCGACTGTGCTTCTAGAAGCCCAATCTTCAAAATGAGCTTACCTTTCAGTGATTTGGATAAGGCATATTTTTATTTTTAAGACTCCTTTTTCTGATTAAAGTGCCCAAGATGAGTGGAAGAGGAGATGGAGGGCAGCAGCAGCTGCTGCACTCAAAGTTTGTGGCTGGGTTTGTCTGCCACATTGAAAAGAATGAAGTTGAGACAAATGCTGACACTTTTTGTTTACATGGGTTTTAGGTTTTTTGTTATTTTTTTTCTCATTTTTTTTCTCTCTTTTCACTTCTCCACTCTTTTTGCTTTTTGGGGGGAGGGACTATGTGAGAGAGAGGATATAATTCACTGTATTTTAATCTAGTATTAATCCAGCCTAGAAACAATGTTAAGTGTTATAATTTAATGTTCGATGCTGAGATACCCAGAATATGTATGACTGATAAACAGTGTTAGGATCGGCGGTGGGAAGCAACTCTCCATGCCTATTGAATCCTCAGCATAAGCTTTCACTGTCAAATGAAGGCAGAAACTGAATGTTAGAATTGATCCTGTGAACTTTTATTTTTTTCTATTCAAAGAGAGGATCCAGTAGACTTATGTTATATATGCATGTATTTTTTGTGTGACATTTGAGGTTTACATTCTTTTAAAGGATTTTATCTTTCCCTTTGTAGAGTCAGCGTGGGAGAAATTGTAACGAGAAACCAACAAATGTCAGGAAAAGAAAATTCATTAACAGAGATCTGGCTCATGATTCAGAAGGTGAGGTTTGATTTTGAGCTGAATCCTCCCTCTTTACCTACACTCCACTCTCATAAACAAGGGGAGCACTTCATTCTTACCTTAAAAATAATAAACTTTGAAATTACTGAATTTAACTAAGACCTTACTTGGAACAGTTTACATTATATGATGGTTTGCCCAGGGAAATATTTTATGGTCCTGTCACAAACTAGTAAAAGAAGGAAATAAAAACTTAACAATGACATTTTTCTTTTAATCATTGTTTTGTGTTTGCTTTTGTCCATATGGCATATAACTACTTCCATACTCTAAGATAACAGTTTAAATGTATCCAACACAGTAGGAAAAAGTAAGCAGTTATAATACTGCTTATGTTTTTCTTTCAGCTTTATTTTAAGTTAAACAATAAAAAGATTGTTTGATTTCCCATCTACTTTAAACTGAACTAATACACCATTATCAAAAATCTTCATGGGTGAGTTTGATGACTACATTGTGAAGTCATCACATCTTGTTAATAGGCCTTAAAGTGTTCACTGAATCATACTTAAGGCCTAATTAATAATTACAATACTATTTAGGAAATTAGGTTGCAGATTCTTTTTATGAACTGTTGGTAGGAGGTCAATGTATTATAAATTATTTCAGCCATATGTGTGCATTCATATTGAACTGCAGATACTTAGATTTATTTAACAGAGTACAGACTGCAACTTAATTAGGTATTAAGTTGAATTCTGAAACTTCCTCAAATCTTCATACTTATTGAGTATCCCTTTCTCTCCCCAATATGACAGGATATGTAGTTTTGAACTTGATAATAAACTGGTTCCAGGGGATTATCAGTCTCTGACTTTTATAAACCTATTAATGTAGAAATTTTTCTTTAAAAACTAGTATATAAAGTTGTACCTTTTACTTTTGAGGCATTAAACCTGTAAACAGTACTTTGAGAGTTACCACAAGTTATGTTAATATCTTGTATATAAGATTCAGAAGACAGACAAAAAATGCCAGTCTTTCCAATCTTTTCCCTACTCCTGTTTTAGCCAGAGTTGAGTATATTTAAGGAAGGTTTTTGTGACAAGAACACCTTCACCTCAGTCTTTTTGTGAATTCTAACATGTGATTTTTGGTTTCGCTGAGCTACTTACTTATTAAGCTGTTTGTTAAATAAAACGGGGGGGGGGAGGGAGAGGAGATTGACTATTATTTAGTAGATTAAAGAATTTCTTAAAGTGTTGTTTAATAGGCATCAAAAGTAGGCAGGGTGATTGAGATAGTTAAGCTAAATAAATCCTATTTTCTTCTATCCATTCCTTTTCCCTAAATTAAATTCATATTTTATGCCAATTTCATGACAAACATTTTTATTTAATGAAGTCTAAAGATTTGCAAATCTTATTTTTATGTCTTTGACTTGTTTTTTAGAACTCTTTCAAGATCTAAGTCAATTACAGGAAACATGGCTTGCAGAAGGTAAGGCAAAAAAAAAAAAATTGCTTAAAAGGGGAGAAAAGCAACTCTAGAAGGGGGAAAAAAAGTCCTGAACTTGCTGTCTTAATGTTCATCCCAATTAATTGAGCTCTAAAAGAGCCACCTCATGTGTCATGCATACATTAGAGCCTCTGATGAGTTTGTCTTTGGGGACTCTGGGGCTGCGCTACCCAGTGTCATCACAAATTACCAGGAGAAATTGCTTCCAGCTCACAATCACATCTGCTTTTGGCAAGAACTAATGCACCAAGACTTCAAGTTCTAAGCCTCTGTTCAGATTTTAATTGCAATTGATCAGGTTTATATTATTGTACCTCGAGAGACCTCCTAGAGCCAGAACCCRGCTGGCTTGCTGTTTCCTTTAGAGCAGCGCATATCATTATTTGGTGTTCTGGTGGAGGACTTTTCTGATGGCAGAAATTAGTTTCTCTGGGTTCATCAGGACGGGATGCTTCAAGATTTAAGTGCAAGTGTCTTCTTTCCACCTTGCTCACAACACAGAACATTAGGTGTGTATCCAATACTTAGGAAATCTTGGGGTTTAAAATCAACCTTTGGGGGATATGAGATTTAAAAAATGTTTTGTGTGTATTACTGTGTATGTGATATTTATTGAAATTGACCTTTGCTATTTTGTCACTTTTATTAGGATTTACTTAATATTTAGCAAGGAGATATTTAAAGGCATTTTGGATTATTTTTTGATAAAGTTTAATGGTGTAATCTATTATATATTTATTGTGTGCAACTTTATTTAAAGAAACAATGAGGCATTGCACTAGTAGCTTTATATTTCTTCAGAAATGTCTGATATTGAGGGATTTTTGTTGGCAACTATGATTTGAAATTTTCTTTTTGGATTTGATATGATCAAGGTGAAATATTATTTTTATGATTTGTTTTGTGGGAAACAGAAAATTATAGATATTTAAGTGCTGACTATAAACTGTGTTCTGTGTTCACATTCTATGGGAAATATGTCATTTTTGGAAAAGATTTTTAAGATGGTTAACCGGAAAGAGGGTCTCTGAATGGAACCCAAGTGCTCTTGTGGCTATTTTAAGGCAGACTGATGTGTTTCATCCGGTGGTCTTGTATGCAGTTGACCAAGTTGCTGTTAGCATGTAAAATAAGTTTCTTTGTTTTGCTGATATTCTAGTTTTCCAAAGAGCTTTTGCAGTCTTTATGAATCTTTTAAGTTAAATGGCTTTCCTAGTAGTCCTTTGAAAGAATGATTGTATTTGTATGTTAATGAAAGGTAAGTATTAATGAAAGTTTCCGTTATACTTAAAGGTCATTTTGCTTGTCCCTCTAAATGAAACTTATTGTAATACATTACTTATTATTGCAATGTAAGACATACATTCTAACATTACTTTTTATGAAAAATTTGCAGAGATTCTTGTGTTAACTTTCAGCTATTAGTTTTGGAAAGTTGAAGACTGAAAGGACATCATATTTATGAGGGAATTTATTCACTTTTCCAAAATAACTTAAAGTATTTCTTTTAATTGTTGTGGAAGGTTTATTGGTTTTTAAGATGTTTAAATCTGATTGATTCCAAGTCAGTGCACTTGCTGGCAGATTTTGAATGTGCATAGCAACTCTGTTCCTGGAATTTTAAAATGTGGAACTGACAGACTCTTAGCATTTTATAATCAGTTTCAGTACATTTTTTTTTTTTTTACTTTTGACTTGTTTGTGTCTTGTAGCTCAGATAAGTGATTTGAATAATTTATTTGAACTTACTTTTAAAAACTGTACAAAATATTCTTATTCACGATTGTTAACATACCTATAAAACAAATCTGAAGATTTAGCTTATATTAAATAAATCTAGAAAATTACTAATGTATTGGTTGGAACATAGATTTTTTTTTTCTTAGAAAAAAACTCATAAGCTTAATTAAATTCAGGAATTACTCAGGTGTGCTACAATTTACAAACTGGATAAGATTGCATTTTAGAATAATTTAAACATTTTCAAAATAGTTTATATTAATTTATCAAGCCATGATGTAAGCAAAAAGTTGATAATGTAATTTAAAAAAAATCTAATAGTGAAAAAAGTTTTTTTACTATTACTTTCTCTTCTTAGTAATTAAATATATTATTTTGCATTAATATTTTAACTGTACTAACCCAGATCTTGAACAATATTAGCTAAGAAGAGATGGCCAAATTACCTTGGTTTATTTATAGCTAGATTTATCCATTTAATCTCTTTCTGGATATCCAGAAATTAACATTGCTCCACTGGCACACTACAAACAATTTATATATTTCTTTTCATAATGCTCCATAGCCAAGAAAATGACCATGAATTTTAAGGCATCTTGACCCTAAAAAAAAAAAAAAAAAAAAAAAATTGGCAACTAATCAAATTTTTCCCATGAGTTAGAATCCCACTGGGAAGTTAAACAGTCTAAAAATCTTATTAGACATGAGAATCAAGTTAGTTGTAATGTGTCATATGATTATCACGTTTTTAAAAAATTATCAAAGTCCCTAAATCTTTGAGAAATAATATATATAACATGCTTAATTTGTTTTTTTCTGTAAAAATTTTTACATATTAGACTAAGTGCAATACATGGATTAGTCATGAGTAAATTATTATGAATTATAAAATGTGTTTTATCTCTAAGAGGAAACTGGGAAAGGTAAGGCAGTTCTATTGAGGATTTTAATGCAACTAGTATTTTCGATTCAAAATATTCTTTCATTTACCCCCATATTTGATTCCAATGAAGTGATGTAAAATATGTTTTTTTAAGAATATAATGTCATACTAATATCAATATCACTTTCTAAACACTAGCAATACAGTTTAAAGTTTTAAAATATGTATATCACAAGTTAAAATATTCATCTTATTCTGAAGAAAATTAAAATGCTAGTGTTTTCAATGACCATAGCAGCAGTTAAAACAAAAACAAAAACAAAAAAGAAAACTCAGAGAATATGCCTATTTTAAATTTTGCTACAGATGCTTCATGTTGTACTTTCACCATGTACAATCCTTTATTGATTCTTTGTCTTTTGAATTAGATTGATATGGACAGGAAGGCAATTTCGATTATTTGATCCCATGAAATAATGAATTCAAATATCAATCCTATCAACATCATGGATAACTTCTTGTACTTAACCTATTTGGAGTGCTGTAGTGTCTAGTGTCCTAAAAAGTCCTACTTAAAATGGAACCTCTTGTGTAAGAGGGACAGAAATAGAAGGATGGAAAAACTGAGTGAAGAAAGGGTTATATTCTTCTAAACTGAAGTTTATCACAGCTTATCTACTAAAACAAATTAAAGAAAAATAATAAATTTCACTAAATATCTGATGTAAATGCATAGCTGCTTTTGACTTATTCTGTGTGAGTCTAAGAGTCTTGAGGTTCCATTTCATCAGTAATATTGAGGAAGAAGTCAACAAGGGTTCACCGCTTTCCGAGTAAAATGTTTTTCAATGGTGTAGTAAGTCAAGTTTCATGCAGCTGTCATACTTTCAAAGTTTTGTTTCCAAGAACAACCTTTCTATTCCAAAGTTTATTATTACTTCATGAAAATAAGTTTTTTTTTTTCTTTTGCCTTGATGTGACTTTCCAGTAATTGTCAGGCTATCTTAAAAGTAGAGATGTCATTACTTTCCCCTCAATTGCTTTTAAGACTGAAGCTAAATTTATATTCAAAGTCATTTTATGATGTTTCTTAGTTAAATAATATGTGCTATTTTTATTGTTTAAATATTCTACTTTTTAAAAACACGATATTAGATATGTGCTTTATTTTTTGCCTATGTTGCAAAGAAAGGAATTAAACTTTAAAAATGACATTATTTTATGTGATTCACACAAAACAGGAATCAAGAACTATGCATTAAAAACATTCATACAATTTCTTAGAAATTGATGTGGAGGTGTTGTTAGGGTGACTGTCCCTCCTTTATTTGTTGTAACAGGATATACTATAATATAGAAAAGACTTCTCATTTAGACTTGATTTAAAGATAGCAGGTAGAATAAATTTATTTTACTTCTAAATGTTCATGGAAAATATGTAAATGGTTTTCATTTATGGGCTATTTACAAAAAGAAAGATTTCTTTTTCCTTTTTTTAAATAGAAAAATTGTATTTGTTAACGGAGTGTAATTTTTTCCAGGGGATCCTAATAAATGTTAATATTAATAAATGTTAATATTGCTGAACTTTTCTAGTTCAGTTACAAGAAATTTGTAATTTCTTGCATTTCACAGAAAAACTTTATTCCCTTTGATTTATGTACAATTTTGCAATAAAATGATAATAATAATACTGTCAGACTTCTGTGGCATTAGAGAACATTTGGGGCTGCAAATAACTAGTTGGCTCTGAGCTTCAAGTTTTCAAGTCACTGCAGATCAATTTAGTTAGAAATTGAAGCTGATTTGAGGTTCAAGACAAGTTAAAAAAAAACTTACTCTTGTTTTTTCCAGAACATATATCAATAATATACTAAAGGTGTTTCGGTCATATGGAAATGGCCTGCTTTTTTTGTTTGTTAAATGTGTTTATATTTCTGCATTAATTAATGCTTTTACATTGGAACAATCATTTTAATGTTAAAACCGGATGTGGTATAAAACTAGGCTTAGTGAACTGATGATTATTTTGTTCCATGGCCTGAAGCAGCTTCAAYTTAGGATTAAAAGGAATTCACAGCGCAAAGGTTGATTTTCTTGTTGTTTTACTTTTACTTAAAATAAAGTACAATTTCTTTGAAAAAATTTGTTTCTAACCCTTTGATTCAAAGTGAAATGCTACCAAGTTCAGCAATTATCTGCTATAGTTTTAGGTTAATCAACTTGAATAATAAGCCAGTAAAATAAGATATTTTTTGAATGGTTTTTCTTTTCCTTTCTTTTCTTATTTCCTTCCTCTGATACTCCCTTCTTTTCCTCTTTCTTTTCTTCCTCAGTTTTGTACTTTGTGTTTCCTTGTAAAGCACGATAGGTTAAATATATGTGTGTATGTATAAAGTTGCCATTTATTTAAATGTGTTTCTTAATGGATCTGAGCTCTATTTGAGACAGAGCAATAAAATTGGTATGTTTATATTTCAAGTTCAAGTTTACTTGCTTTAGCTCTCTGGAAGGGTGTGACATGAAAAGCTTGTGGTTGGGCCACATGGCTCATGCTGGACTGTGTTTTTGTGAATGGAGGCAGAACTCCAGTCCTGCCTGCTTGTCTTGAGGAATTGCTGAGGAGATCAGCTGTCTCATTCACGGGCAGAAAGAATGACTCATACATCTTCCGCCTTGTTTGGCTCCAGGTCATTGTTACAGTGGATAGAACTGGTTTTAATTAAATATTAACCCCTTTTATACTTGACATTTGCTTTATTTGTAATTTTTCTGCTTTTTTCCCATAGCTTTAAAAGAAAACCCAACAGGCACCTAGTTTTATGAGAATATGGGGGAGGGGGAGGGTTACTTACTTGCCTGTGACCTTGAAAAATTTTTAAATGCTAACTTTTTTTTTAAGTAGTGAATATTATTTTATATAAGAGTTACAAATAGGCATGAAGTAAAGGCAAGCTATATTCATAATTGTCCATCCTCAATGTAATGTTAGTTAGGGAGGATATTAAAGTTAAAATTGAGCATTGATGATTTTCGGACATTTAGGTAGTCATTAATATTTTTATGAAGTTCTCTCCCACAATCTGTATTATGATGTAGTAAAAAGAGAGAAAAATTAAAGAACAACTTTGGATAATAATCTGGGTAAAGCAAGTAGCTGAGAGTGCAGATATTACCCTTTTAAAGCCCAGACCCTGGACTTGATGGCAACTTGTCTTAATGTTAATGAACTGATAGAGCTGCTCCAGCTATTACCAATAAAATCTACATGCTTAATCTCCTTGAAAGCCTTTTATTGGTCTTTTGATATATATATTTTCTTTTTCTCCTTTCTTCCTCTTTCCCTTTCTCTTTAATCACATAGTGCAGAGAAACATTTTTATTCCCGTAAGGTGATTCTTTCAAGTGTAGCTTATAATACTAGACAGCAGTGAAAAAAAAAWTTTTTTTTCACCTTTAGGTTGGTCTGTATTGTTAATTTTCAACTTTGTAGTTGGAATGGCTTGTAACAAATTTTCAGGCAGCTGTAGTTTGCTCTTTCACAAAATTCTCGTGAATTAAAGAAAAAAGGAAATGTCTGATACCAGTGTGGCAATACTTTGTCATATTTTCCTTGCCCAGATCCAACTTGTGTTTTTAGTTAACTGCTTTCCTTTTACTCCAACTTGAAATTAGAGGTCTACTTAAGCCTTTGTCTATTTAAGTAGCATGCTGCTTCATTTGGTCTATTCAGTTTCTTAAGATTAGCTTCTGTGAAAATGTGAGTCATATGTTTTTTGTTAAAATTCTGTAATATGTTCAAGCCTAAGTGTGAAGTATTTATTCAGTATGTAAAGAAGTTAGAACAGAAATAGCAGTTCTTATTCTTACTCTTTTTACAAATTGTTAGTATGTAGCTATTTTTTGTGTATCTGTGAAGTGCAGCTACTGGATTCTTTTGCCCTTGTGCCTTGCCTTCTTCCCCTTACACGTGTCCCAATACATACCACACACCACATCAGGCATTTTGCTGCTGCTGCTCTTGCAATGATTGTGTATGGAGTTCTGACTTGGTCTTATGATACTAAGGAAAAAAAAGAAAGAAATTAGCCTTCAGGACATTCATACCAGCATATTCAGTTACAAATATACTTTTGTTACTCACCAGCTATTTTTAACTATTCCTGTAAAGGGATATTACATTTTTATTAGATTCTTATAAACATGGATTTTTAAAAAGCACAGTAATTGCTGTGGTTGATAATTTTGCACCTCAGTTGTTATATCTATTTAGTTAAGTTAGAAGGAAAACCAAAGCATGTGACATCAGGGAAAAATGTGCAGGATTTGATTGTTTACTTGCTGTTATTGGTTGAGTATTTATTTAAAACCCTTGCTTTTTTTTTTTTGGTGTGAAGACTTATTATAAAGTATAGTACACTACACTCATAATTTATAAATCTATGAGACAAATCAAACTTCCAGTAATGTCAAAAATATGTTGTTAATAGCTAACACAATGCTAATGTACAAAATTTAGAATTCATTAGAAATTAAGACATGAGTAACTGGGCATGTAATGATTGTAGTACTTTTCGATTGTGATTTGAAGGAAGAGAGTAGATAGTGGAGGATTGAAAATAAAAAAGTGTGTATCTGGCATCGGGTAGACTTTTATATAATTCTAACAAAAACCTGTATGTTATTGCTCTATACTGATGAGTAAAATGACATTTAAAGAGGCTAAATAACTTACCTAAAGTTACATAGTTAGCAAATCATAGAGCTATGAGTTGAAGTTTGCCTGACTTTCAAGCTGTTACATAATAATAATAGATACTGGTGGAAAGTGAAGAGAAAACTTTCCCTTTCAACTAGTATAGGCTAATCAAATAGGCATCAGTAGAAACTTGCAGAAGTTCTTAATTTGTTTGGTTTTGTTTGGTGGTAGGGGATGGTGTGACTTTAATAAGGTAAAGTATTGGTGTGTAAGAGTTTTTGGGAAAACAATTGAAATGTCAAATCACATATACTTCACAAACGGGCAAGCCTCATTAGACTGTGATGTTCTTAATAATATAACATAGATTTATTCAGACAAATATTTATTTAAAGAGAATACTATTACATAGGCTGAGAAAAACAAACTTTAAAAAGAATACCAGTTTACAAACTGAGAAAAACAAACTTTAATTCCATGAATGGTAGATTTTTTTTATATAGGATATTTTATATGAAATTCCACTTTGTACAGATTTGTCTTAACCCATTCAATTATTAGCCTGAGACATTTTTAGCAGAGACTGATTATTTATTTTAATTAGCATTCTCATCCAGAATAAGCTCATTCTAAAAAAATTAATTGATGTCTGTTTTAATATGATTTAATGAGATAAAAAAGTTTCAGTATTGTATAAGACTATATCAGCTAATCAGATCCTCGCTAAAGTTAATTAGTATGATACTTTATTATGTGTTTACCAAATTAAAAGTAACCTAACTTCTGTTTGTGTAGTTTCTGTATGTGAGAGTCTGTATATTTGTGCAAACTCATTTTAGTAATATTCTGTCAGTTTGGAATAGGTTATTTCTATGCCTAAATCAATTGTGATAAAAACAATTTAGTAGTGAAAAATTTGTTTTGATTGTTGCCAAATRCATTAAGTCCTTGCTATTCAGTATTTCTTCTTTACTTGAAATAGGAAAGTCATTTGACATTAGAACTGAAGAAACAGTGATATTCTTTTTATTAATGCTGCATAGATGCCAGGAAAATATTTTGCATGAAAAGATGGCATTTGTTTTATTATTTTCAATTATTATTATGACTATAATCATCAAAATATATTACTTTTGTTAAATGTGACTCAAATTAATGATTTTTCTTTCATTTTTAAAACTTAATAGCAACCTCTTGTCAAATTTAGGGCAAACATTTAGAGGTACTGTGGAGATTGAACCAGGGGTGGTCTACTGTTGAGTTACATTTCCAGCCCTTTTCTAAAAATTTTAATTTCATTTTATTTATTTATTTATTTATTTTTGTTTTGAGACAGAGTCTCACTTATTTGGCCAGGTGGGCCTCAAACTTATGATTTTCCTACCTCAGCCTCTGGAGTTCCTGGGTTTACAGGCGTGTGCCACTGAGCCATTTTTAATTATGCCAGTCTAATTTGTAAGAGATGGAACATATCAAAAGCAATAGTTTGTACACGTGCAGAGGGATGTGTGTGATACCTGTGTATGATTTAAAAGAATCGTGTGGCTCATTTTGATGGGCAGCTCAAGCACTGGCCGTGGGTGAACTGAAATATTTTTTGCTCCACTCTTGCAAAATGAAACCCTGCAGGAAATAGAAATCCTAGAGCTTCTTTTATTTGTATTTTTTGTCTCTTTTATTTCCATCTGGCAGGGTGAAATTCCGAGGGACTACACCTGCCACTGTCATATTTCTGACATATTTATGTTTCCTCGTTGACATCAATGATCCCTTCTGTTTCTCCTCCTAAGTAGCGCTGTCAATACCATTTTAAATAGGAGCTTATTGGCAAATAATAATAGGTTTGATCTCAGCCTAAAAAGACCGTGTTTGACAGATCTGAGTTGACATTCCTTATGCCTTGGCAGTTTTTCTCTTAATTTTTTTTTTTCCTTCTTCCGCAGCTCAGGTACCTGACAATGATGAGCAGTTTGTGCCAGACTATCAGGCTGAAAGTTGTAAGTATAGCATGACTCATCTCTTGTATGTTTCATTCTTTCATTCTTTCTTTTGGGGTTGGTTTGCGCTTCTAGTATCTGGTCTTGTATTATACTAGTGTCTTTTTAAGCTTACAGTCACAAGGTGATTTTATTTGTCAGGTTGTGACATCAGCAGAATCAATGTATGATCTGAGCAAAATTTCTTCGGCCGGCAAGGACAACTGATTTGTTTAAATGTTCTGTTCTTCATATTTTGTACTTGTCTTTGGAGAGGAAACAGAGTGTGATCCATGAACGTGCAAGTGTTTACTTCCATTTGGCCAATATGTTCACCAGGAAAAGTCTGGATGCTGAGGGGAGGCAGTTGGAGTTAAAATCCATATGAGATTAGTTATTGTATAGCTTACAAAAGATTCTGGACCAAACATTCATTACATTCATAAATTSTCACCTGCTTTGATTTAATTTTTAGTCTGAAATTTTCTGCTTCCTGTTTGCAGGCACACAAATGGAAGCAGCCATTGGTTTCTTTCAGGGTCCTTTCAGGGTTCCTTTTCCTGAACTTTACTCCAGGGCCCAACTGTCAGAGAAAGCATGAGGAGTGATTCATGGGGTGCTTGCCCTCCCTTAATTGCAGAGTGAGCATTTTGCCTGTACTAACATAGTTGCTTTAGGGTTTACTGCTAAAATTTATGCTTTGCCCAGTCTACCAACTAACTGAACCTATTGACCTTAGAAGCAAGTTTTACAGTAGTTTTCCCTTTTCTGTGAGGGGATATGATCCAATATATTCTGTGGCTGCCTGAAACTATGGATAGAACTGAACCGTGTACTGTGGTGTTTTTGTTTGTATGTGTACATACCTATGATAAAGCTTAATTTATAAATTAGGCACAACTAAGAAATTTGGAAAAATAAAATAGACTAATTAAAATAATATATTAGAGAGAAAGGTATTTTTAAATTATACATTATTTCTGGAATTTTCTATTTAATATTTTTGAACTGTGGTGGATAGTAGATAAATAAAACTGTAGAAAGTGAAACTATGTATAAGGGAATGACTGTAAATGCCATCTTGATTGTGAAACTGGCCTAATGCATTTTTATTCTGTCCATGCCATTTAGAGCTATAACTTGTTTTATTTTTTGAGATCATATTAGCTGAAGCAATGTCAACAGTAATATTAGAATACCTTACAATCAAACTCATTTTTACACCTTAGTATCACAAACACATTACTTCAAGTAACAGATATTTGCTGGAAATGTTTTCAAATTTTATGTTTATTATCCTAAATTTCCCAGGCATAGAGGGTTGTGGGAAACTTCTTTTGGATTTTCTTCCATGTTGCCTATTTTGGGTCAGCTTGATCAAAAAGCATATTATGGTAAAATATGTATAACATAAGATCGATCATTTTAACCTTTTTTTTAAAGTGTACAATTCAGGGCCATTAAGTACATTCACATTGTGCTACCATCACCAATATTCATTTCCCCAACTTTTCCATTAGCCCAAAGAGAAATTTTACTCATAGAACAATTACCTCCCATTCTTCTATCTCTCCAGCCCCTGGTAGCCATTGTTCTATCAGCTTTATTTTTGATATGAGAAGAGAATTTTGCATTCAGTTTGATCTGAATGCAGGTATTTGTCCTATGCTTTCAAGAAACATATTCAGCAATGATATAGACCCGAATGAGAGACCCTTCAAAACATGTGCAAAAGGCTGATGGCCAAGGACAACAGTCAAGCCAAGCAAGGTATCCCCTTACTGATGAAAGTGTGGGAAGGCAACGGTTATTATTTCTAACATTTTGCTTTCCGTGGGGAGCTTGAATTCTTCTCTCTAAAAGCTAAATCTGTCATCTGAGTCAAGGAATTAATCTCATTGAATCATTTCACATTTGAAGAAATTGGTAACAATTCCCATACAATACCAAATGTCAGGGTAAAATAAACTACCTAGAGCTAATTTTTTACTCCTTTTCTTGTTTGACCTATTTTCAGCTTTTCTCATTCGTGAGCATTTTGTTCCCTTGAACTCTCTTCTCTTGGTCAAAGTAGTGTGATATATTTTTTTTTTTCTTTCTCTTTTTCCTCCTTTGATCACTCTTCATTCCTCATATCTTTCTTCTCTCTTCTTTGTGCATCTCATCTTTCCTTGGGGTTCTGTCCCCAAACATTTTCTCTTCTACTGTATCACAGTGCTGTCCCATGGAATGTTTGCTGTTGATGGAAATTACATCTGTGCCACTGACTGTACAGTAGCCGCTAACCACATTGGCCATTGAGCACATGCAATGTGGCTAATGGAACCAAAGAACTCAAGTTTTAATCTTAGCTAACTTTGATTAATTTTAGAGGTGTGGCTTATTGGTTACTCTCCTGGTCAGTATAGTCCCCCCAAATGATGTGTGCCACATTGTTATTTCCAGCCTGGGACTCCCTTCTTCAGCTACTGGACATCCTCACCTCATCTACCACTAGGATCTCTTCAAATTAGAAAAAGGCAACACCTCTGGACTCACCCCTCCGTTCTCGGCTTATGTTGGTGTAAAACACCATTTACACACCAACCCTGATCTTTACTAGGGTGCTCAGCCAGTCCAGTGTTGAAATCATCATTTTTCTTGGGCAACATTTCTCATTCTTGTTTCCTTTAAATTGATGGCATTATTCTCCAAAGTAAAAAACCTGTGATTTCAATGCGGTTGCCTCGAGCCCTTACCATCCAAGATTGCTAACCAAATTATTGATTCTTCCTTTCAAACATGTCTTAATTCCACAGTCTCTACTCCATTCCTGTTTCCTTTGTTTCCTTGCTTTAGTTCACACCCACATTTGGCTTTGACTGAACTTCTGARTCAGTCTTTTTTTTTTTTTTTAATTGGTTTTTTTGCTTCTGCTTTTTTTTTCTTCCTGCCCTTTGCAGTGACAGTAGCACACAGCTATCTGGCCTTGTTAATTTTCTCTTTAAACTTCCAGCAGGACAAAGTCCTAATTCTTTGATTGTACAGAAAATTGTTGTATAACCCAGGCCCTGGTTACCTTTTTAGTTTTGACCCTTGCTACTCTAGCACCCCTGTCCCTTTTCATTCTCAGCACTTTAATTTCAATTTTTCAATCCTCCAAGCAGATTATTCCATTTCATGCCTCATTTTGCTTTGAAAGTTTTCACTTCCACTTTGCAAGCTGACGATTCTCCTATATCGTACTCCGTGTAAACTTGATCTTGCTGAAGCCTGCCTCACTATTTTCTTGCTACCCACACTCTGCAGAGTTCCCAGGATTATACATCATTTTGTATCTTGGATTATGTATTAGAATTTCTTAGATACATGTCTGCCTTCCGTAAGAGTGAACTCCTTAAGGATTGGGAGATGACAGATTCAACATGCCCTACATGTTATAGAAGCAAAGTAAGTAAAATTGTCATGGTAATCATGATTAGCTTCTTAGAGCTTATTTCCTCACTAGTATTTTCAGAGTTTTCATTATTCTCTTAAGGGAGAAACATGTAATTGTGTCTCAAACAATATATATAGTYTCAATCTAGGAAACTTGCTGAAACTATGAAAGTTTAAGTCTCTTTAGATTAATGTTTTATTTTACTTTAATGAATATCAACAAATTAACTAACATGGCTTTGGGATATGAGAATAAGAGGTACTTCTAATAACAAAAGTAGAAGCTAGAAATAGTCTATAATAAAGTTGAAGCGTATTTTATTTCATGTTTCTAATGACATAAAAAAAAACTTGTTCATATGAGGCTGACAGCTAATTTCAGTCCTCACTAAGGAGAAAACAAGAGGAAAATGGTTTGAAGAGGAATAGCATTTGGAATAGATTGTAAGGAGGATTTCTGAATGGTGAAGCTTATGAAATACTAGAACTTGGAGTTAGATGGTCTTCGAAATGCCTTTTATAAATGCTTGGTGGATGTCTCTCTGTAGATGCTTAGTGGGTCAGAGGGATCCTATCTCCCAGCAGCTTTGGAGGCTGAGGCAGGGAAGATTGAAAGTTCAAAACCAGCCAGCCTCAGTAAAATTGAGGTACTAAGCAACTCAGTGAGATCCTGTCTCTATATTAAATACAAAATAGGGCTGGGATGTGGCTTAGAGGTCGAGTACCCCTGAGTTCAATGCTTGGTACCAAAAAAAAAAAAAAAAACAAACCAGAACAAAACAAAACAACTTCATCCCTGCTGTGTGCCCCTCTATAAAGCATATGGAGCTACTTTTTCAAATGTAAATAATTGAATTTTCTTATATACCTTAATGAAATAAAATGCTTCTATTTTCATTTATTGCTTTAGTCTTTTAGTAATTGAAGGCTAGCCAGATTAACAGCCATATTCCATTCAGTTAAGAAAATGCATTTGATTGTAACATGTTTGAATATATGTGGAAGAGTAGTGAAGAGAACATTCAAAAATTGTGAAAAGGAAATTAAACCTTAACACTTGGGAATTTTCTAATAATCTTTATGAGTATTCCTTATTTTCTAATATATCAATTAGAAATTTGAAATCCAATCATGTTATACTATAGCTTACTAAATTTTGAAGATGCTGAACTTTGAAACAAGTATAGAAATTATAAATAAATCAAACAACTTCCTACAAGTGCATGCCAGAAAACAAATAACATGGTTTGAATACATTTATTTGTTTGTGTTTTAGCAATACATTCTTCTTAGGTAACTCTGTTGGTATACATTGAATTACTTTAGGGATACACTTTAGTCTGGAAAAAATGGAAGTGTATCTCTTTAGAATGGAGAACTCCTGCCCAAAGTGGTGATGTACATCTACAGTCCCAGCAACTTTGAGGCAGAAGGGTTTTATGGCCAGTCTGGACAATTTAGCAAGACCTTGTCTCAAAATAAAGAAAACGAAAAGCACTGGGGATGTAGTGGTAGAGCAGCCCTGAATTCAATTCCCAGTATCCAATGAATAAATAAGCAAATAAATAAACAGAAAGGAGAACTCAGAGTATTGAAAACACAGA